GGAGGAAAAAGCGGTGTTTTGCTGGTGGACGGAATTTTTTGCTCGACGACCCCCGCCGGAGTTGTCACCATTCGATAGAGAATTAAATTCTGCATCCAGCACAACCAAGTAGAGGACCAGCACAGACGTAGGGACGAATCGGCACAGGAAATACGCGAATCTGGTGCTAACATTACCTACGTAGTGGACTGATGTCTTAAATAATTATCAAGTTATTTATTTTATAATTCTTCTATATCTTAATATTCTCATATTTTCGTTCAAAGGAACATCTCGATCAGTATCATTCGAATCCAAAATGTGAATATTGTGACAAACAGTTCAACTCAATTATTATATTCAATGAACATAAAGTCTTCGAATGTCAACAACTAGTGATTGACTGTGCATTGAAAAACTTCGGTTGTAATGAACAAGTATAAATACTCTTAAGATGAAGTTCAATTTGAAAACTTTTGTTCTTTAGTTTATTCGTATCAATAAGGAAGTTCATTATTTAACTGAACAACATCAAAGCGCTATAATCAAATTTGTTGATCAAATATTGTCGCAAACAAATGTTAAACACATAGATAATGATCTTCCTAGTGTAACAACTGCAGCGAATAGCAATCCAGACACACTTCAATCACAAGAGCTTTCTGAAATACTAAATGTTTTATCAGAAGGCACTCAAGTATTGAAAATCGATCAACAACGTTTAAACAATCAATCACTTCAATTTAAATCAGTTCTTCAAACATTAATAGAAGAATTATCAACACTTAATCTATCTACTGAAGAATCATATGCTTATTTTCAAGCAGTGAAATGTAATGAAGATATTCTCAATCAAGAGTTAAAATCACTGCAATTAAGAATTAATGATTTGCAATCTATTTCATATGATGGAATCTTTGTATGGAAAATTATGAATGTTAAAGAGAAAATGAGTAAGTTTAACGATCATTTTATATTTAGTCATGAATGTACAATCGAAGAATACGATTTCAATAGATTTCGGTAACATTAAAGAATATAGGATTACTTGATTAATACATTGATGCAATGAATTAGAAATGTTATCATTCTTTTCAATATGTTTATTTTTGCTTTTATTGCTATGTAAGTATTTTTTATGTAATATTTAGTTGATGCACAGTCTGAAAGGCAAACATCAATTTATTCGCCACCATTTTATTCATCTCCAAATGGCTATAAAATGAGAGCTCGTTTATATTTAAATGGTGATGGAAATGCACGTCGTACACATATGTCACTGTTTTTTGTGCTTATGCGAAGTTTGAACGATTCAATTCTCAAATTTCCATTTAATTACAAAGTTACTTTTTGTATGTACGATCAAACATCTGCAAAACGGCATATTATCGATTCATTTCGACCAGATATTAGATCAAATAGTTTTCAACGACCTCAATTGGATATGAATATAGCCAGTGGCATACCAAAATTTTTCCCGTTGGAATTGATTCAACAAGACGGAAATCCTTATGTACAAAACGACATGATGTTCATTAAAATTATGGTTGACTTTGAAGATATACCCAAAACATTGTTACCATACATTATGAATTTGAATCCAGGTCTGCCAACTCATATTCAACAAGCAATGATGAAAAAAGAAGCAGAACGATTATGGCAAGAATAAATTTAGATAATATGAAAGCAAACAATAAAATGACATGCGAAAGATTCAATTTAATGAAACAGCTTTTTTTTTATTTTCTTTACTAATGACGTATTACTCAATTTTATTAATTTTTTAATTCATTCATGAATTATGAACAATTAAATCTAAAAAACACATATGCTCAATTGCTCTTATTCTTCACATGTTTTGGTTATGGAAGATAGTTGAATGAGCTATTGGAAACATTTGTTTCATGAGTGAAGGGTTTGCGTGCAAGTGTAAATCTGTTCTTAAATCAGATCCATATCCTGAGTTACATGTAGTCGTGGTACAATAATGTAGCAAGTGTGACATGTATAAATTTTAATAGAATACTCTAATAATCAAAATGCGATCCATTTGATTGTTAATCAATTACCGTTGGTGAATATCTATGTGAATTTATTATTCTATTAGATGCAATGTGACAGTGGCATATTTAATCGATTGTATTTGAGCTTATAGTCTGCAAAATTGATATTGATCTGATTATCAGATTTTTTTTCGAAATGGATTCATACAAGAATGTATAGCGACCAATGATTAACTGTCAGATATCAAAAGAAATCAATGATCATCGTATTCTGATAATAAAAAGCGTGGAAAATATTCAGTTTGGTTGTTCATGTTTATAGAAATTTAAATCGATCGTTGTTGATTTAAATATCATGCGTATTCTTGTATTCATGGTAGAATATATCGTCTATATGTATGATTAACAGTTTGTTGCAGATGCTGATTGATCAGGAGTAAATATTTGTTGATTATTAAGAAGCCATGAAACATTATTCCAATTAACTAATGTATTTGATTATAATGGAAAATTTGTTTAGTTATCAAGCTGTTTTTTTCTTCATAAATAATACCCAAAATCTAAAATTTCATGATACGAATGTTATCCTCTTACGTCGAGAATCGATATTGAAAAACTTTAATGAGAAATTCGTAAGGACAAATCTTTTCATTTATCTATTTATTTTATTGTAGATTTTCGCTTCAACAAATTTACATCTACTGTATGATCTCTATTTCTTTTTGAAGAGAACTCTTGCATTTGTTCATCATAAGATATTCTAGTCTTTTTATTTTAATGAAAACTCGTCGTCAATTCATTCTTTCTTCATACACTGTTGTTTGCCGATGTTAGTGCATATTTACGTTGTCAAAGTGGGTGTTTGATTTTTAAATATGAAATAGCATAGATTGAGAAAAGTCACGCACAATTTCTTTTATTGATGTATATATATAAGGAATCATTTTTATGTTGGTTCATGCGAGCAACAATGTTCCATAATAAATAAGAGTTATAACACATGGAAATAAATTGAACTCATAGCTCCTGATACAACAGCGGATACAGTTTTTACTCTGGTGAGTATCATGTATGCTCTTACAAAATGAAGTTCTTTTTTATTCTCGAAATTTAAAATAATAATGAACGAATAAAATGTTGTTAGTAGAGACATAGAATTAAGCAAGATTTGCTAATCCTTGCGGAGAGAAATATTTGAAACAGTACTGATGAAAACTGTCTGTTTTGATTTTCTAGCTGAATAAATGTCAAAAATTTTTTTTCATTCAGTAAAGTTTGATTGTATCCACTGCAGATCTTGTTGCTTATATTTCTCACAAGTACCATCTAACAGTCATATTGATTCGTGAAATAAAAATTACGTTTGTTGCGATAAAAGAAAACCTATATTTAGTGCAGTATTGTCCTTTTTATTGTGCATTTTATCACCAACTGCTTTGACTTCATGGGTTGATCTACGAGTTTTTATGTGGGATGTCTTGATTTTTTAAACATTCGAAAGTATTCTACATCTTTCTGCTTTCTCAAAAGATCTGATCATTTTGTTTTCAGTTATCTTACTCATAACAAATACATACTCCTCATTGCATTTCTTATTAGTCTGCGTGCCATTGTTTATCTAATGACATCTCTCTAAAGAAATAATTTGACAGCAGCTTTCTCAAGGTTTTTTTCATGACTTCTTCGAAATTTTTGATAAATCATAAAGTCACTGTTTGTATTTCTGGTATTCACTCGTAATATTTTTTTATACTCGAAATCAAAAAATAAGCTTTTACTTTGATATAAATTCTGTTCATCCGTAAAATTATTCTGCTCACGATACAGAACTGTAATATATTATGCATAAATCTTCGTTAGAAAATGAATGCATACGAAACTAAAAGACTTTTCTGGTCAAACATTGAACATAAGTACTTGAAATAGTTTAAAAGATTCGGAATTATTCATAATTTAAGATCAGAGTTACTGAAGGATTTTTTTCTTGATTTCTTCAGAGAACACCCAAAGTTTCAAACATTCAAACTATATAATAGTGTTTGTCTTAGTAATTTTAATGAAAGCTTTTATTTTTCAAAATCGGACTCAAAGCAAAAAAATTCTGTTACAAAATCGAGATTTTTGCGGCTTCGCTGGCATTGAATAGATTGGCAAAGTTCTAGGATAAAAAATATATAAATAAATGATCATTGACTACGTAGTAAATTTTTGAATAATCAAACAGTTTTAAAATAGTATTTTATCAAAGGCGTATGCTAAAGAACATTCTATGTATATACTAAGATTGGAAGAGATTCGATAAAGTACCTAAATTCTTTTAAAATTCAGTATGTCCTAACAGGTTTTCTAAGATATTTTCGTTGATTAAATTTTTAGAAATGTAACTTTTCTTCGTTCGAGTATAATTTGACAAAGAATTGGAAGCATGGTTATTGACTTAGAGAGATGATATTTTTTGACTTTTAGAGACAAGAATTCACTCTGCTAGTACATAGATAAAAATGGAGATTTCCGTTGTGTTCGTGACCTTGATGTGCATCTCACTTGCATTTAGCTCAAATTTCACTCGATGCTTATACAATAAAAGATTTTGTGTCTGTAGCATCTATATAGAATGTCATACTAGGCACAGTCAGCAGGGTGTGAGTGTGGGTGACCACGAAGAAAATATCCGCACCCACGCCCACACCCACACCCTTCAAAATTCTATTGTTTATGTACATGTTTCTGTGTATGATGATACTGGTGTTTTAACAATTCTCTGATTTTTCGTTATTGCGGATGCATCGATGAAAATGTAATTGATGGAGACTCGAAAAATACTAACTCAGCCACGTGTCCATTTTTGCTTTATTCTTCTGTGAGTAACGACGGAAGAATTAGTAACATAAAAACTCATCATCGATTATTCATTACAATGAATATGCCATTGTTACATTTTAATCAATGACAATGCTTGAGACAATGACTAATCGTTCATTAAGTCGATTGTTCAACGTCTAATTGAACTACGCTATTATCAATTTGAAAATGTTAGAATACGACATCGATTAAGAGAAAGTAATCAGTAATATAATATGTGTAAGAAGTGAGCAATTATAGAACAGAATAAAATTTTTCATTCAAGCGAAAGTTGAACAAACAAGCTTTTCTATGTCACAATAATCATATAATCAATCATCGTCTCCTGTTATCGTCGTCGACTATACTATATGGTACACTGCCGTGATATAACACCGAAAAATGGCCAATACTGTTCTTGAGCACTTCTTCGATGAGATAAAGATGTATAATGACTGAACAAAATCTGCGAAATGCTTATCATGTCGCACTATCATAAGACAATCCATAACCTCAACTTCAACCTATACACGTCATGTTCAGTACAAGCATACAGAAGAAATGGAAATTAGGACTAGAGACCGAAAAATCGAATAATAACAAGAAGAAATCAACAATTCAACAATTATTTGGTCAGCGAAATACGTAATTCCTGAATAACATTACTTAGGAATATATTTTGATGTCTTAGTTAATTAGAAACATGATGCTGACAACCTTCGCCAATTAGAGGTTACTCAAATGATTGTACAAGATTTAATAATCGATTTGCGATAACAAGATTTACTGTTTTGTCTCCGCTTACACTTTGGCATAAAACACTACCGTCCGCTTTTGAACGAGTCATGATGAAAGTGAAACAAGCCTGTATGTAGTGAAGCGAAGATCATTGCGCTCACTCTTCATGTGTAGTCTAACCGTAGAATGCGCGCGCTCAGCGGAATCACAGTGCATACTATTGCGAAAAACGATGGTAGCTTTCATATTAAAGATGCCAATTGTAGGGTCACATACAGGTGACAATTTAAGACGTTAACTCGAAGACGTTACTGCTACTTTCCATATCGAAGACAAGATGGTTCGAATAGTTACGGACAACGCATAAAAAACCTAAAGGCATTCGATGAATTCGTAATATCAGGATTTTAAGTTTATTTTGAGCTTAAAGACGATGAAGACGAACATGATGATGAAACAAAGGCAGCCGAGTATGAAGGAAAAGGTGAATAGAACAATGTGAGCGATCAAGAAAAACGTCTTCGTATACCTTGCTTCTACCACACTATTCAGGTTACAGTTGATGATGGTTTGAAAGAGTGTGAAAATGCATAATCGGCTCTTTTTAAAGCTGCGCCAATTGCGAAACTCAGATAATATACTTATGAAAACTTGTAAGCGGTGAAAAATTTTGTAAACATCTATATGCACTCTGTTATTAGTTGTAAAGACGCGCTGGAATTCACAACATCAGATAATTTGCAAAGTTCTTGAAATCTCGCACACGTTGCTCAATGATCTTCGACGCGATGTTGACCACGCCGATCTAGCTTTGACGGCTCTTGACATTATTATACTCCAGAAATTTTACCAGTACTTTCACATTATTTGCCGTAGCCACTACTCTTATACAAATCGAAACATCTGCTTCCATCTCGAAAGTCGCACTGAGTATTCTCTCAATTTACTTTAATCTCGAACATGATCAATCCTACTGTAAATATCTTGGATCACTATGTCGTACACTTGTCAATTCTCTACGCGCTGTTTCGGTGGATTACGTGAGCGGTGCGAAGTTGTTGCTGATAATAGTATGAAAATGGAGAAA